TTTTATAGAGAGAAAGGGTAGGGTAAAGACAAATGAAAAATTCATCACCTAATATTATATGTTCAGTTCATAATTTCTTCAGTTTCTTCCTCTTCATCTAAACTGTTTCTAGTGATTAGTAATTATTATAAGTTCTTTCTTTGTGAAATTTGGAACAGTGTGTATTTACTTGCTCTTATTTCACTTTTCTGGGTGGACCAGGGCAGAAGTTGAGTATGTTTAGGATTGCTTATATTTTAGAGAAGGAGTACAGAGCGACTTTATCCTTCAACAGAATAAATACCAAGTAGACAGTATTCATCTGGGGTGTATTTGAAGAACAGTTGCACCCTTTTAACCTCAATTAATTAGCTGGATAACTTACATGAAAGGAATACTACTTAATGGAGATAAACCATTAAAATAATTTCAAATAACCCTTGGTTTAATACTGCTCAATGTTTCTGAAATGCATTCTTGGAGATGGATGCTTTTACTGTTAAAGAGGAAAAGCTACTAGTCAGGCTATTTTCAGTTACAATACAGGCAAAAAACTTGAAATGGAGACCCTGCTCTTTTAAAAGCTTGATTCTTAATGATCTTTTTACCTCCAGTTAGTGTAAGTAGAAGAATGGGCTCAAAGTTCTTGTCCTGGCTTTTCAATAGTGTCACCAGGGTATTGCTTCTTTCAGGTAGAAACAGTCATTATCTTGAGAGAGATAAAATGATCAATTAATTTCAATAATATCAGCCAAATTCATACTTATGTGTCATTCTAAATTATTACCTAGGTATTGCTTCAAAATATGAACTGTTGCCTACAGCTTTATTGCTCAGAATGCTGCTCCAGTCAAAGTCAGTGATGATTTTAAGTTCTTCAGAAGAGAATGAGTCAACAAGCACTTATGTTTTAATATTCAGACCTGATTAGAACTTGCTAATTGTAATAAAGTGCATTGAACACAGAGATGCTCAGAACTCTTGAAAAATTGAATAACTAGAGGTTATACATCCTATGATGCAAATATTGATGGTCAATTATTTAATACAGTCAAATCCCATTGTTTTATTTCACAAATAAAACAATTTTATCAATAACAATTTTTCAACAATTTTATCTATCAATAGGTAGACCCACTGAAATCCTAAAGCAGTCAGAAAAGCCATCTTATCTTCCTTTTCTGGAAGGGATAACATACATAAATAGACAACTCAGATATTTTATAGAGTGTTTATCATGTTAACTGCAGATGTTAATGACTAGATGCTACATACTTTTGAACAATTCTTTTTGTTTTGTTACAAAATGTTTCATATTGTGAACATGCAGCTGAAAGATATTAAAAACTTTGCGATAGGACTGTTTATTAAAACTTTTCACACTGATGAATTCTCTCTGTATTTGGGATCTGATTATATAAATATTCCTCTGCTGAGAAGAACATATGTTGGAATTGTTTTTTTTATTAGTGGTATTAGGTGGCCATTTTCTTTCTAGTTTTTAAATACTGGGATCACCGTGCCAGAAGCTTTCTGGATTGAATCTTTATTAACCACATTTTAAACCTGTTATATGAAAATTTTGCTATTGGCCTTTTGCCTGATTCTTTGGTTCAGATTGATTTTATATTGGGCTTGCTGTGTGTTTTAGTACAAGGTCAAGTGTTTTGTACATCTTCAGAAGTGACACAAAAAATGTGTAATAGTAAGGAATTAAGTATGTTTCCATATTTTTCTTTAATATTTCCTTAATTAACAGTCTGAGTGTATAATATACTCATGTAAGTATCTTGTATTTTACTCCTAGAAAAAAATGAAAGCCAGCACATTTCAGGTGCCTGCCAAAATACCTTTTTAACTTTTGGTGTTGTACCACATCCTATCATCCAAACTTGTGAAGTAAATTTTAAATTCATTATACATTTTTCATATTAAAATGTGTTCTAAGACTTGTACTTAAATATGGATGGTTAGTATTTCGTGGGAGTTAAAATGTTTCTGGTTTCATTTCTTATACCTCAGCATTTCCCACGTATTTTATTTCATTGTATTTATGAAATGCTGTCATATACTGATGTAGACAGTACTGGATATGGAACGAGCTATCCCTTCAGTTATCTCACAGTCTGTAGTCTGATGTACACAAAACAGAACCTTGTATTACATATAGTATTCAGAATACTCAATCCGGATGAAAGTTTTAAATCTGTTAGTCTTCCCTCTTCATCAGACTATGCAGAGGTACCTCAGTCATTCAAAACCAGTAATTATTAGCTTGTTCTTAAATCTACTGTTGTCTAGATTCCACGTGAGTTATCTTTTGCTTATGTCGTGGTTCATTGAAAGGACTTTTAAAAACATGTGTGAGCGTCTGTGGCAAAAATCTGGGCCTGCTTCTCCAAGTTTGCTTAACAAAAGAGAACTAACTGTTCATATGGATTTGATACACACGGTATTTAATGTATTGCAAAGCCAGAAGATGCCCAGAATAGCTGTGCAGTGTGGAGGCTTTAGCCATAACTCACTCAAATGAGTTGAAAGGTCATTTCAGATCATTAATATAGCAGTAAGTGTGTGTTGTCAAGGTGGCCTGGAGATGCTTTATTGACTCCATATGCTTTGTTTTCATGTTGCTTTGTGTTCACCTCTTATCTTGTTTTCCCAGATACTGTTACCCATCATATTTTACGATTGTGTATGTTGCTCTCGGACTTGTATATGATCCTTTGGTCAGAGCTTCCTTGGCATTACATGTGTCTGAATCACGCAGCATAGTGAGCCCTGGAGTCCTGAGATGTTTCTGTTGACTTTTGATTGAACAAGCCCTTTAGCTTCTAGATACTACTGCTGCAAAGTCTGATATGGGTTAAATTGATCAATATGTAGGTTATAAATTACTGGTTTGAAAAAGATTTCAAAAAGAAAACTTGAGTGAGATCAGTTTTGGTACTGTGGTCCCAGTGGTGCAACAGACTCGGCTCCTTGGCTGTCACAGTGGTTCTGTTGTGCCGGGTGGCAGGGCGCTGCTCTGCCTTTATGGCTCATGGTTTTGGACTTGGCAAGACTGTGAAAATAACCCCAGGGACACGGGGTATGCTCAGTCACCCCACCTGGGAAGCCTCACTTCTGTGGCACAGGTCAAGGTTAATAAAAGGACAAATAATTTCGAGGGTGAGGTAGAGAAAGAAGATTGCAATGCAATCAAAATTGTGGTGGGAACCTAGAAAATCACTGTTGCTGTTAGAAATTGGAACGGGGGCTGATTGTTTGGAGTTGAGCTGAAGGTAAATGTGACCAAAACCGTTTCAGAGCTTCTGTCAGTTTTTTAAAGATGAAACTCTCATGTATTTATATACTTTCTGATTTTCTCACTCGATTTTTACTATTTTTTTCTAGTACTTGTTGCTTTCCACTAACGTAATCAAATGATGAAAATGGCTGCTTTTGAGGGCATATATATATATGCCTTTAATATATTTTAAAAATCCTACTGTTTGTCAGGAGTTTGAGACACTTTTGTCAGTTCCTACAATACCTAAAGTCTCAGTGGAAACTGTTGAAAGAAAAGCCGGAATCATAATCCAGGCTCTAAGAACACTTGCCAGTACTCTTTCTAATGCTATTTAAACATAATTTTGTATATTTCATTTTTCACCTAATTAATTGCAGTATAATTTGGTTTGAGTGGAAATGAGAATTCAAAACTGCAAACCGTTAATTCAGACGTTTAGTTCCCGGGCTGCAAATATCCATCATGTTTCTTTCAAAAAGGCAGGCACTGAGCGACTGCATGGACGTTAGGCACGTTTCCACTGGTGTGCTTGTAAATTAGAGCTATTTCTGTCGATTCGGCGGAGGTGCCGATTTCTGTCGTTGTCTGTTTAAATGGCGGTTATTGGCTCTTTCACTCGTCTCGGCCCCACGGTTTAGCGCCTGTCTCTT